GCTAAAGTAATTAAAAATCAAAAATATTTTGAAGTTTTTTATTATTTTAAAATCATTTGTTCTTAAATTTAAAAATTTCTTAATTTTAAATATAATTTATTTTAAAAAAGTATAAATATAAAAAATAAGTAACACAGATTTAACTCATATTTTATAGGAATGAAATAAAAGTATAAAGTCTTAATTAATGCCCATAGAAGGACATAGTTGTGGTTCTGGTTCTGTGGTTGTAGTTTTCTAACTTTTATAAGCATTATAAAAGTTAGAAAACCAGAACCATAATTGGAATCATACAGTACAGGAATATAAAAATTTTTCCATTATATTTTAATAGTATGAGAACTTCTTTCATTAAAAATAAAAATTTGCAAACAACAGAAAATAAGAGTTTAGGTTCAATTTTCTTTTGTAAAAATTATCCTTTTCTTAGTTTCACAATTAAACTAGTAAAAATACTAATGGCAATAGCTTAATTTAGCTTATTATAACTCTGCAAGACCCTACAAAAATTTTGTATAGAATTTCATAACTGTTATATCAAGTATTTTCCTATGATGACTATTTTGAAATAAATATCACACAGATTTGTAATTTTCACTTACACCTTCCTCACATAATTGTATTCCTATAATACTAGTACAGTATATACATATATGAAATTTAAAATACAGCATCATACTTCATACTGCTTCTGGAAGACAGTGTATCATACAGATAATAAACTGAATTTCATGCAAATCATAACTCATAGCTCTGATGTGATTTACAAAAATTAATTATAATTAATAACTGACTTTAAGTTGAAAATTATATCTTGTTCTAAACTAAAATTCACAAACTTTTACTTTACTTTAAAACAGTGAAAATTATTATTAGTTTTTTATTATTCCATTCAGAATTTATGCATAAATAATATGAATTTTAAAAATAATACTTTGAAGAAATAACTAAAAGTAAATCAACTAAGCCACTTTAATACAATCAACCACGACATTTCTAAAACTGAATTAGAATCTTGAGATAAGTCTGGGCTACTTATTTTCTTATAGAAATGTAGAATAATTTTAGAAAAATATGAATATGAAAGTTGTCATATAATATAAAATTATTTTGAATTAATTAATAAATTGTCAATATCAATATGATGTATAAAGTGCAAGAATTAAAATTAAAAAAAAATTAAAAGCTAGCATTACATTCAATTATGAAAGTACTAGATCAATAATCAAAATTTTAATCAAAGTACAATTTTTAATGCAATAAAAAACTCAAAAATATTTTTGTCTTAGATAGATAACATCTTATTATATTTATGGACACTTTAAATTAATTTTTAGGATTATATCATTTAATAAAAACTATTGTTTCTTTAATCAGGATCAATTTTTACTTTATGATAAAAATGAATCCTGATTAATGATAGAACAATTTATTATAAAGTAATTCATAATGTTTAAATTAAAATAGTTTAATATTTAAATACTAAACTATCAAATATAAATAAATTTTTATATTTAATTATATCAATTATATTTTATACAACATATTTAAGCAAAATTTTTAAAGTAGAGAAACTTCTCATCCAAATATGTTCTTGAAGTGAGCACCTTGGTTACATCATGCAAATTATGTCATCTGCAATTTTTGAAAGTTGCTGACCATATCTAAAACTTTAGTTGAACGAGATGGTTTACCATTATTCTATAAAAAATCATAATTTAATATTTTCAATTTTATCAATTTGTGATTATTATTATTATTATTATTATAATTTTACATTACCTCATTTCCTGATGGAGATGATGATCCATACAGCTGTTTTTCTTTCTGTTCGCGCTGTTCACGTCTTTGTTGTGCAAGTCTTAACCAAGCTGGTTGTTGATTTTCTTCAATACCTTTTGTATCTTGTGAAGAATTGCGAGAATTACTTAATTTGAATGATTTTGATTTGTCTCTCTCATTAACTGATCTTGGTGTTTTAACATCATCACAGCTATCTTGTTTATTTTTTAAAAATGATTTCTTTGTACTTTCGGGAACACTGGCTTTTCTTGTTCGCATTTCTGATACTGAATTATTTGTTGAATTACTATCAGTATTTGTGTTACTTCTAGGTCTAGATGATATATCTTGATTCGTATCTTTTTCACCAGATTTACAAGTAGGAGCAGTCTTCACTTCTGAATTAATTTCTCCTGAGTGATTATTATCCATATTCACACCATTAGATACTAATGATGTGTCCTGTGCAATGTTATTTTTTTCCTTTTGAAATTTTGAATCAGGTATATTTTTATCACTGTCTTTTAAGATAGAGTTTGAAGTATTTTCTGTATTTAAATTATTTTTAACACTTTTACCATTTGAAGAGTCATTGATTGAATTTTTGGATTTTTCTTTATCTATATGTTTCTGTTTGATAGAGCGTCTTGCAAATACATGAAACAATTCAGAGTTTTGTGGAAGAGAAGTATGAGTCTCTTGAAAGTGTTTTCCATTTACTTCTTTTTTAAGTTCTGTTTCATTCTTANTTGTATTGCTTGCGTTCTATTTTACGTTCGTTTTTGTTTTAAAGTAGCTTAACTGAAGAAGACTATTAAATATAGTCGAAAACGTTATTATTTTATTAAATACTTCGTTGCTGGAAATACTAAGATGTTTGATTATTTTAAAAATAAGTTATTTGAGGAGGAAATTTTAAAATATTTAAGTTTACTATAATTTTGATAATGAAAGCAAAATTATTATTAACAAAACACACTCAATACACCTTGTAAATGTGCAGCTGTATTTATTAAATTCGAACGTTTTCGGTCATATTTAATGACCTTTATCAAGAATAAATGGAAAAAATTGAACTCTTAGAAAATTTGCATTAACAATAAATGCGTTTTGGAACGTTTTTAAAAGATATTCTAAATGAAATTATGTATGCCATCTCTACAACAGGCTAACATTAAATAAACACAATAAATATTAGCACGTTAAAAAATAATGACATTCAAGATAAGCAATAAAAAATATAAAATAAAAATGCAAACAAAGAAAAAGCAAAAAACATAAAGAAATGAGTTGGGCAAATACATTAAACTAAAGGGTTCTGCCCTTAAGTATGCTGCCACTTAGCCACCATTCTTGACGCTTACAATACGCTTGATTGCCAAGCTGCCGATACTTTACTTGCTTCTCAAAAGTTGATAGATTGCCCTTTTTGCTGGTTTTGCAGAATTATTATTATTTTTAAATTTTTAATAAATAGTTTTTGGTTAACAGAAAAAATAATAAACGAATCATAAATNTCTTCCCTTTCCTGCTGACGGTTCTCGGAATGATACATGTCCTTCGTCATCGCTTACGAGGGACGTGTTCTTCCACTTCAGTTAATTAAAGTCGACGGTGACAACTTAGCACTGTCTTTGGTCGTTTGAAATCTCTCAACTGACGATGAAATTCTGACCGGAAAATAATGGATTTTCGCCAGCAACGTGCGAGTCAACACTGGACACCCGAATAAAAACAAACGGGAAATATCGCAGTTAGAATTTGTCTAAGCCACAATTATAATTATGTCGAACAATCAAATGTGTATATAAACTTTTACTTAATAAAACTTTTAAACTTTATATTAATTGACTACGTGTATCAGTTTAAATATTATATCCGCACGTTTTATTTTTGGACTAATTTATAATTAAAGTTGAAATAATCTTTCTAACAATTAAACCGAAAGTCAAAGCAGAAGAAAATGTACACGATTCACAACGAAAGAAAAAATATAAAAATAAAACAAGTAAAAGTAATTTTAAAAACTTGCGAATTTGTATCGATACAAAAGAAAGAAATAAAATGCCATAAAACAGAGATTATTAATATGAACTGTGCCTCCGCGAGTACTTTGTTAACAATAATTCTCTAACTTAATATCAACTTAATAGCAGAAAAATTCTCAATAAATGAAATTACAAAGACATCCGTCTTTGTAATTTTATTTGTTGAGGATTTTTCTGGTGTACTGTACGATCATCTGCCACTGTGTAATGCATCTGCCACTCGTTACTGTGCCATACAATGTAGAATACAGCCGAATACAGAATAAGTCTAAAAATTGCAGCAGATTTTCTTACATATGTTTAGAGCAAACGAGATTTAACAAATTCAAACGCGCGTCATCCTATAAAAAGTAAACTCAAGTAAATTCAAGTTTTTACTTGTTAGGACTAGGATCGGAATAAAATTAAAGCTTAACCGTACGACCATCTTGCCGTCTACCAATGATGGGCTTTAAAATGGCCATCTTAGTCACTATAGGATGGAGAGAGTAAAACAAAGAAGAAAGCTTTCTTTGACGTAATTGTATTCAATTTTTATTAATGATTATATTTGAGCCGTGTATTCCAAGAAAGATCCAACTCCACAAGTTTCTTTTTGAAAAATAAAACTTTTTACATTCTAAGAATTAGACTAATTACTTAAACACTTTCATATTTATGATCGACGTAACACACTCATTTTTAAAAGCAAGAAAAAAAAAAAATAATTGATAATGGAAATTTTGGGCCTGTTTTGGAATCAGACACTAACAAATAAGTTCAAAATAGATACATATAATGTACTGATCAAAACACTTAGCGGAGTACGTGACTGCTCTAATCGAGGAGTGACAAAGAAGATCATCGATTCGATCCCATATTAGTCTAGTGGCGAGCCGTCCTTGGAAGCAGTGAAAGCCTCGCTTTCATTGTAGTTTCTAAAATATAAATTCATATTGCACGATTATTTTCATATTTTAACGTATTTTGAATTGATTAAAATTAATATTTTATTATGACCGCATTACGTATCTTATTACAAATTTCTATATTACATGTAAAGAAAACGATAAGATTGCTATTCTATGTTCGAATATCAGTGGCGGATGGAAGCGCTGTATTGTCGAAACTGGGTCAGCTTCCAAGCAACTAGATTATACGCATTCGCTTTACAGAGCACCAACCTCACCCGGTTTAGCTGATGGAAGCTACACACCAAACGTATAACGCCTCCAATGATTCTATCCAGAGACCTGTTCTGGGCTGTTAATCGCCTGCCAGCTAGATATCTGGCCGCCCTTGTCCCATTATGTGAATCGTGAACAACCCAACCGATAGGAGTTTATGATAGTTTTGTATAGTTGACAGGAGTTTAAAAAAATCCATTAAAATATTTGATATATTTATTCTGCTCTTCCATCTTAAATTACTTACGGATTTCAATGTTAAACTAGTGATATTACGATTTCGTATATCCCATCTTTAAGGGGATGTAGGAAAAAACGTGTACAATTCTTGTACAATGTTAAAAGAAATGAACTGTTACTTTTAGTGTTACCATCTGTCCGGTTTTCACCCGGACAGTCCGGGTGAACTATTAATTTTGTCCGGGAATTTCGTAGAAATTGTGAAATTATGTTGAAACAAAGTTTTTGCAAATATTTTTACAAATACACAATATTTTAACAGCGAAAGAACTCACGCTCACTGAAACTCGTCTGCAATTTTGCCATGTTAGTTTGTTTACGTCGACGTGTAGCGCGCAACATCCCCGCTGATTTTTTTTTTCTTTTGCTTGTACGATCGTACACGTCTCAAATAGAGCTAAGTTATCCGTACCTGTTCTTTCTTAATTTAGGGTACTTACGTTGCTCCTATGCAAGTCCCTAAACCCTAATTGTAAGGCCCTGTACACACTAGGCGTTTTTCAACGCGCGTTTAACGCCGAGCTAACGCGCGTTGAAAAACGCCTAGTGTGTACAGGGCCTAACTGATTTAGAACCGTCATGCATGTTATTCTTTGCATTGTAAAATGACATTGCGCATGCGCCAAGAACTTCTGTTGGAACAAATCTGACGTGCCGTCCGGGTCAGCGATTTTCAAAACATGGCAACACTAGTTCCTTTGGCAGCATCATTTACAAACAAATTTAATAAATGAAACGCACAAGGTATGAGAAATGCTCTAGAATTTATTTTCCTTAAATTTACGATTTATGTGTCCGTTGTCATAAAAATTTGTCTTTCCGCTTCTTTCCCAGGACTACAAATATTCAAGTACAAAGTAACCGGTTTTAACTTATTTCTACTTAAGTAGTAGTTAAATAATTAAATAATTAAGAGATCAGGGAATTAGGGACATAAATAAAACCCTGCTGAAAGAGCCGGAATTTTACTTAAAAGCTTAACCGAACCAATCTCTAGCCGAGTACTGTACATTGGGGACTGATTTCTTCGTAATATTAGATGTAATAAAGACAATTTCAATTTCATAAAGGGGATGAAGACTCGGGACTATTCATTGGTATTGCCCGAGTGTGAAGAAGAGTAGAGGAAGATGTAATAAAGACAGAAATTTTTCCAGTTCAATGAGAGTGACTAAAATTTTGGAAATTTCTGTGGACACCTGGTCCTAAAACGAATCGTTGCATTAGACTCCTTTTCTAATGCAACGATTTTGTCCCAAATGGCGCAAACACCAGGATCTGTAGTCAAATGGAATGAGGCAACCATCATAAAACCTTTATCTTCTCCATCTTTGGCGTTGACAGCAGAAAAGTTGCAGATTTATAGGAGTAAAATACAGGAAGGCTGTTTAATTGCGAGGGATGCAGAAAGTCTTCCCTCTGCATGGAAATTTATAGTTAAGAAGTTTAATAAGAGCTCTAACTAGTCATAATAATTGTATCACTTAATACAGTACTTCTATGTACATTTTTATATTTTTGTTTTATGTTACTCCGTTGGATATTTAATATTTTAATTTTATTTTTATCTTATTCCGTTGCTTAGTTAATGTTTAATTTTGAATTTTGTATTCCATTGATGGAATCCTTTAATTCGAATTTGGTTCTAAACCTGACGATGGCCTGTAAATCAGGTTGAAAACGTTTGTTTGGAATAAATTTATATTTCTCGGCAAGAATAAGGTTTTAGTTATATGTATATTCGTACAATTGAAGAATATTTTGTACCAGATATGTACCGGTTCATCCACCACACATTTTATTTCACCAAGTAAGTTTTTATTATTTTATTTTTAATTGTAGCCCTTATATCGCGACTAGCGATTCGGAATGTAATTGTGATACAGTACTAAAAATACATTTAGAGAAGTCTACGGTTTTTACTGGCTTATCGAACAAATGAATACGAGTGAACCCTAGACCAGGCCTTGCCAACCCGCGGCCCGTCACGTTAAATTGTGTGGCCCGCTAAGCGATGTTATATATCTATTAAAACTTTTGTTTGTTTGTTTGTTTCTTTTTTTCTTCTCTAATATGGAGAAACTTTTGTTTCCCGTTATGTGTATACTAAAACAATTAAATAAATGAAAATTTGCATGTGTCATTGTTATAATGCGCAAGTGCGAGTACGAACTCTTGGTATAACAATAAAATCTTATTCATTTTGTATTTGTTTTACTTTTTTAAAAGCATATTTGCCTAAATTGTGGCCCGCGAAACAATAGACCATTACTGTCGCGCAATTAACTGATTGCCCCTGGAAGTCGGCTTCTTACAGAAACAGCTTCCCTAACATCAAATGTCACGGCACGCCAATGCTGTATATATGTAATGTGTAAACATGACTGTATCATAGATTTGTAGCCAAAATATTGTGGAATTTTTAGATATATTCATTTTAACTATTAAAACTTTTGTCCATTTTATCACATTTAAATTTCGGTTCATAATAAAGCAAAACAGCCATTTCATATCTGAAAACCAAAACTTAAAACAATTTTCTAGTTACAGCCATGTGTATGAAATAAAAAGTTTTTCAATTGTATTCTATTTTTTTTTTTTTTAAATAAAATTTTATACAGTCACAAAATTACAATAAAATTACAAAGATTTATTATCAATACATACAACTTAATGCTTAAAAAGAACAAGAATCAAATGTCATGATCAATAAATGTACAATGAATTGGTCTAAAACAAATACAAACATCTAAACCCATTTAAAGGAGAAGCTATCATTAAAATGTAATATACAACAATTATAGAGTACTTTTTATGAAATTTCTAATATCTTTTTGCATTACTCCAACCATGCAAATATTTCAGTACAAGCTATTTTATTTCAGAAAACTAATTATAATATAGGAATTAACTAGGAAGAATATAAATGGTAGGATATTACAAATCTAATATTATAATGAAAAACTTTCAATAAGCTACTCTCAATATTATTTACAAATTTTCCCATGATTTTATTTACATATTGATTATCATCAAAAATGAATCATTTTATTTATTACAAGTTCACAAATTCATATTTCATATTCAAAACCAGAACATAAAATAATCATTAGCATCTTGGTAATCAAACATTGCAGACATTATCTATTTGATATTTTTTTATTTTTACAATCTGTACATGCTATGATTTACAAAATGAATAATTAATATATTTAATCTGCATATGTACAACAGATGTTACGAATGATAACATAAATGATAATCATATAAAATATTTAAAGTGGATACAACATGTAAAGTAGTAAAAAAACAAAAAAATTAAAAGTGTTTGTAATTATTATCAATTCTGATATTCTAGTTTTTACATATATAGTAATTTTACAGTTAAGTTTATCTTTCAATTTTTTTTTAAATATTCTAAATGATTTATTGGCACATTTTAGAGTTTAGAGGCTTTTGTGCCATTAGAAAGAAGATCCTAAATTTTATTCATACTCTAATAATAACTGCTGTTTGTACTGTTTTAAAAATTATGGAAAATGAATACTGGCCTTTATATCCAGTGATATATTTTACAAATTTATCAATACAGCAGTAAGACTTTAAAAATATGCATAACATTATCATGTATTAATTTTTTTAAGTTTGGTATTTTAATTATTTAAATGTACACTAGCTATTTCAAATTTATGCATTTAAAAAAAACAGAATTCAGAAAAAAAAGAATACCAGTGAAATTTGCTATAAAACTCCAAAGTCAGTGACTGTAATTTTTACATTTAACATTTGACAAAAATATTATGATACACTTTTTGGCAATTTAACAATTTATTGGAATTATATCCAATTTACTAAACATTTAAGTGTTGGAACAATTCACGTATACTTGATTCCTCACTTTCTGAAAATGTATGCAATATTTTTTGCTCACAAAAGCAAATCTACCCTGTATGAAATTTAAATATACCATAGTTATTTTGTTTATTACTGTAAACAAAATATATTAGAACATATTTAAATCAGGCACTTTCAGAAAAAGAAAAAAAATAACCATTTTATGAGTCTAGGATTTTCAGCATCATGGTTCAGAAATAATAAATTATCACAAAGTTTTTTTGTTAAAAAAACTAATTTATACTTATATTAATCAAATATGTTAAAACAATACTACATAAAAGATAGGATTTGACAGATAAAGCTAAGCATAATAAAATAATTAATTTATTAGGCTGACATTTTGATTAAAAAATTTTAATTAGTACATACATTTTCTTCATTCAAGAAATAGTAAATTTAAATAAAAAACTATTATAGTCAAGTTAATATTTAACATTTCATGCAAAATGTTTCTTATTGAAATATCTATTCATAGGATAACATAAACAAGAGCTACTTTATAAATCAGGGAAATCCAACTAGCAGCATAGTGTGAGAATGACTAATTCTATAATGTATTAATGTATGGTCTAATATCATGAACAGTCATGGCAATTCCAGTAAAAATGAAAAGTATCCAAATATTAAAATAAAATACTATTTATATTTCATTGATATTTTCATGAATAAGATGGACCATAGTTTAAAGAAGTAAAAAATTAGAACAAATTGGCAATTCTAAAAAATTGGATTGTTTTTATTGCTATTGCATAGACTGAAGGCATTAACATTCTGAATGTTATTGAACATCATACTTAAATATTGAATAATTCAATTTCATTACAAAATAAGTCATGAACAATTGTTAATTTTATGAGTTTAATATTTAGTATAAATTGCTATTATATAAATAACCAGAACTAAAGTACAAATAGTCAATTTTTATAATACAAATCCTTGCAAGCCTATTATATGAAATATGCAATTCTCATAGAATTTAATTTTTATAAAGCATATTTTTTACAATTTATTTTTTTGCAATAATTTATATATGTATAGTATATTATTTGCTTTATAAAATAAAACTAAAAAGATAAAATTTAATTATTTATTTTGCTAAGTACTTTTTGTTATATAGAGTTGCAAATTTCATACTTTTTGTTTTAAGAAGCATAGAGAATATTAATGCAATAAAATGAATATTGAAATTTGTATTTCAATATTATGCTGCCTTCACATCATGGATATTTTGCTTATCTCATAGAAAATTTGCAAAAATATATTATGAAAACAATAGTCAATGATGAATTAAACTTGTTTGACTTCAATGCTTCTCATTGGCTACAGTTTCAATGATACATTTTCACTAAGAGAAAGTTTTCCTGTGTAGCAAACATGGCTGCTTCATATCATATAAAAAACGTATAGTTCACATCAAGAAATCAATCAAAAGAGCTTCTTGATAAAAGCCATGTTTTTGTTTATGAAATTTTACTTCATACCTTTTATATTAATAACAACACACATCTGTTACTATTAATAAATACTATATTTCTGTGCATTTACTTAAATACAATGAATATGTGCAATATGTTCATGATAATGTGAAAAAATAACCTATTATTCAAGCATTATTTTAAGATGAAAAAATAAGATTTTAAATGAACAATAATTTAAATGTAAATTATTATTCATTTAAAACTTTACGTTTCATCTTAAAAGTGATGCTTAATAGATATGTTAAACAGAAGTATTGGCCCCAGTTTAAAGTTGGACAACCCTGATATAAATTGTAGATCCTAAAATTTGTCTTTTTATTTATAAAAAGAATCTGAAAATACTATTTGATATACAACTGATATGAGAAAAGCTTACAAAACAAGTTTAAAATATATTTTACACAATGTCCTCATTTATAATATGCAATGTATGAAATTTTTCTAAAATAATTTTTGATAGCTTTTACTGTATTAAAAGCCTTGATTAGGCACCTGTAATTAATGTAAGGCCCCAGCAAGTATGTGCCTTACACTTCTGCATAAAAATGTAAAATAATAAAAAATAAAAATTTCTTAATATTTCAGATACATATTATATTGAATAATATGTGATATTCATAAAATGATATGCATTATTTTTAAATACATGAAAATTTGACAAAAAATATATAGAAAGTTATTTCATCAAGTGTAGAAAACTTTGATATGAAGACTAGCACTATTTACAGTTTTAGGCATAAAAAAACAATTTCCATACAAAATGAAATCTTATAAGAATGATAGTAATTTCAATGAAATTACTAGTGCCAAAATCTTGATAATTACTAATAAAGCTGATACAAACTTAGTATTTTATTTTCATCTCTATATGCTAAGTATCAAAACATAGTAAAATAGTTTACTTCAAAAATAATGCTTAAATATACTAAAATGTTAAACTTTATAAATTTTAATGAAAAAATTCCGATATATTATGTATAGAATGAGTATACTTTATTAAATAATTTTGTATTCTCTTTGTATGTAATGCAAATCTATGCACAAAACGTGCAGACTACATAGTCTATGATAATAATAGTCCAATTAGTTTATTATTTCTAAATACACATGAATTTTATAGCATAATTTTAATAGAAATAAAAAAAACCACAGACTGTTGTGGAATAATCTGTGTAATCTACATGTAAGGCGATGTGTTTAGAAGTACGTTGCATATCAAAGGAATATCAATAATTTTTATTTTCAACAATGAAATTTATATTTGTTCATAATAAGAGTTTAAGTTTAATTAATAAGGCCATGTAGATATTTTAAATATTTCCATTTTGTTTTTATAAAACACAAATTTTATATTTGTTTTTTTAATGTATATTCTATTTTCATTTCATATTTGAAATTAATAAAAATTAATGTATAAGAGAAGAAAAACTTTTAAAGAAATTAAATTATAATTAAAAATTTAATTGTTTTTAACATTTAATTTTCTATCTCAAATTCTATCTATTCTCAATTCTATCCTATAAACAAGCTATTAATTTGAATTATATATATTACTATGTAATTCAAATTATAAATTAAAATTTATTTTCAAAATAGTAATACTTCTATAATCATAATTTTTAATTTGAAAAGTTTTGAATTCATTAGGAATTAAGTATAACAAATAACAATGTTTCAATCTGAATATATCTGGAAACTTAATATATATATATATATATATGCATGCTAAAGTAATTAAAAATCAAAAATATTTTGAAGTTTTTTATTATTTTAAAATCATTTGTTCTTAAATTTAAAAATTTCTTAATTTTAAATATAATTTATTTTAAAAAAGTTTAAATATAAAAAATAAGTAACACAGATTTAACTCATATTTTATAGGAATGAAATAAAAGTATAAAGTCTTAATTAATGCCCATAGAAGGACATAGTTGTGGTTCTGGTTCTGTGGTTGTAGTTTTCTAACTTTTATAAGCATTATAAAAGTTAGAAAACCAGAACCATAATTGGAATCATACAGTACAGGAATATAAAAATTTTTCCATTATATTTTAATAGTATGAGAACTTCTTTCATTAAAAATAAAAATTTGCAAACAACAGAAAATAAGAGTTTAGGTTCAATTTTCTTTTGTAAAAATTATCCTTTTCTTAGTTTCACAATTAAACTAGTAAAAATACTAATGGCAATAGCTTAATTTAGCTTATTATAACTCTGCAAGACCCTACAAAAATTTTGTATAGAATTTCATAACTGTTATATCAAGTATTTTCCTATGATGACTATTTTGAAATAAATATCACACAGATTTGTAATTTTCACTTACACCTTCCTCACATAATTGTATTCCTATAATACTAGTACAGTATATACATATATGAAATTTAAAATACAGCATCATACTTCATACTGCTTCTGGAAGACAGTGTATCATACAGATAATAAACTGAATTTCATGCAAATCATAACTCATAGCTCTGATGTGATTTACAAAAATTAATTATAATTAATAACTGACTTTAAGTTGAAAATTATATCTTGTTCTAAACTAAAATTCACAAACTTTTACTTTACTTTAAAACAGTGAAAATTATTATTAGTTTTTTATTATTCCATTCAGAATTTATGCATAAATAATATGAATTTTAAAAATAATACTTTGAAGAAATAACTAAAAGTAAATCAACTAAGCCACTTTAATACAATCAACCACGACATTTCTAAAACTGAATTAGAATCTTGAGATAAGTCTGGGCTACTTATTTTCTTATAGAAATGTAGAATAATTTTAGAAAAATATGAATATGAAAGTTGTCATATAATATAAAATTATTTTGAATTAATTAATAAATTGTCAATATCAATATGATGTATAAAGTGCAAGAATTAAAATTAAAAAAAAATTAAAAGCTAGCATTACATTCAATTATGAAAGTACTAGATCAATAATCAAAATTTTAATCAAAGTACAATTTTTAATGCAATAAAAAACTCAAAAATATTTTTGTCTTAGATAGATAACATCTTATTATATTTATGGACACTTTAAATTAATTTTTAGGATTATATCATTTAATAAAAACTATTGTTTCTTTAATCAGGATCAATTTTTACTTTATGATAAAAATGAATCCTGATTAATGATAGAACAATTTATTATAAAGTAATTCATAATGTTTAAATTAAAATAGTTTAATATTTAAATACTAAACTATCAAATATAAATAAATTTTTATATTTAATTATATCAATTATATTTTATACAACATATTTAAGCAAAATTTTTAAAGTAGAGAAACTTCTCATCCAAATATGTTCTTGAAGTGAGCACCTTGGTTACATCATGCAAATTATGTCATCTGCAATTTTTGAAAGTTGCTGACCATATCTAAAACTTTAGTTGAACGAGATGGTTTACCATTATTCTATAAAAAATCATAATTTAATATTTTCAATTTTATCAATTTGTGATTATTATTATTATTATTATTATAATTTTACATTACCTCATTTCCTGATGGAGATGATGATCCATACAGCTGTTTTTCTTTCTGTTCGCGCTGTTCACGTCTTTGTTGTGCAAGTCTTAACCAAGCTGGTTGTTGATTTTCTTCAATACCTTTTGTATCTTGTGAAGAATTGCGAGAATTACTTAATTTGAATGATTTTGATTTGTCTCTCTCATTAACTGATCTTGGTGTTTTAACATCATCACAGCTATCTTGTTTATTTTTTAAAAATGATTTCTTTGTACTTTCGGGAACACTGGCTTTTCTTGTTCGCATTTCTGATACTGAATTATTTGTTGAATTACTATCAGTATTTGTGTTACTTCTAGGTCTAGATGATATATCTTGATTCGTATCTTTTTCACCAGATTTACAAGTAGGAGCAGTCTTCACTTCTGAATTAATTTCTCCTGAGTGATTATTATCCATATTCACACCATTAGATACTAATGATGTGTCCTGTGCAATGTTATTTTTTTCCTTTTGAAATTTTGAATCAGGTATATTTTTATCACTGTCTTTTAAGATAGAGTTTGAAGTATTTTCTGTATTTAAATTATTTTTAACACTTTTACCATTTGAAGAGTCATTGATTGAATTTTTGGATTTTTCTTTATCTATATGTTTCTGTTTGATAGAGCGTCTTGCAAATACATGAAACAATTCAGAGTTTTGTGGAAGAGAAGTATGAGTCTCTTGAAAGTGTTTTCCATTTACTTCTTTTTTAAGTTCTGTTTCATTCTTAGGTGACACCAATTCTTTGTTAATTTGATTTGTTTGAACTGCATTTTCTGTTATCTTTCTTACTGTAGTTGTTTGCATTTCATTAGTATTTGTTTTTAATATATTACTATTAGAAGTAATGGCAAATTGAGGTAAATCTGCTTTAGAAATTGAATTAGTGCTTTTTATTTCTTTTGATTTATATTTACTATTATTGGTTCCTGCTGTTTTATTATTTGAAGTAATTTCAGAAAATACTTCATGATTGGGAGCTGAACTGATTTGATTTGTAATATTGTTTGAATCAAGTACATTTATTGAATCTTGCCATGTCCTTATTGGAGATATTACATTATCTGTTTTTTGATTTGGACTTCTTTTCACATTGTTATCACTGTTCTCACCATTTAATTTATTCAATGAATTCTGATTTTTAGTATTATAAGCTTTGCTTTGTTCTTCATTCAAAATTAATTCAACTTTTTCAGACTCAGATTCTTTGGTTTCTTTATCAGTTTGAGTTAATGAACTTTCTTCTTTGAAAGTACTTGTATTTTTAAGATTTTGTTTTTGCTGACTAACATTACTTTCAGTAATGGAATTTTTATAAGTAGAAATTGGTGTTAAATTACTTGGTGATGAAATTTCATCTTGGGATTCTTTGCTTATATTTTCAATTTCAAAATTCTTTTCCTGTACTTCCTCATTGGCATTGTTTTGTGTTAAATTATATGTGGATTCCTGTTTTTCCTTTTGCACTCGTTTAAGATCTGCCCAAGTTGTAAAATTGGATGAAGTTTTTGATAAAAATGATTCTTTGTCTGTTTGAGGTGAATTTTCTGATGTTTTTACTTCTTTATTTTGATAATTTTTGCTCTCTCTTTGGTCTTTAGTGTTACTGATGAGAGAATAATTTACACAGTTATCACTTGAACTTTTTACAACTTGTTTACTTGTAGTACTTGAAACTTGCTTAAAACCATATTCTAATTTAAATTTAGGTGTAGTACTCTGTTCTAGATGTTTTTCATTTTGACTACTTTGAAATGCATGTGAAATAAAATGTTTGAAAGTTTGTTCATTACTAACTTTAGAAGAATTTAAATTTAAAAATAAATTTTTTTTCTCTATCTTGTTTGATGAATTCATTCCATCACAGATATTATAGTCTCTAGGTGATTTTGATGAATCATTTAAAACATGTTCATTTGTTTCCTTATGTGATGAAACACATTCATTATCATTATTTTTTTTAATTTTATGACTACTTCTACGAGACCCAAACCATCGACTTAGAAAAGGTTCTTCTATAACTTGGTCATCTTTTTCTTCTTTTACATATTTTTCATTTTTTTCAATATCAGAGTTTCTTCGCATTTTTACACCCCAAAGGGCAAATACTTCTTTGGCTTCTTTTCCATTTTTCTCTTCAGAATTATTTGTATTATTATCATTATAATTTTCAATATTAATTTCAGAGTTTATTTCATTACATCCATATGAATTTTTCTCAATGTTTTCAGAATCAGACAAGATGCATTCTTTCTCTAATTTATCAAATGTACTGTCCAAGGATTCAGTAATATTCCATTTTGGAGAAACTGCTAATGGTGATAATAAATTTTGAATCATATCTTGATTTGAGTTATTTGAAGTATTTGATATTTGAGATATTGAATTTTCTTCTGGGCTTTCAGGTGATGATTTTGAAGAATCACTCAAAATCATGTTTTCACTCTTCATGTCATTAAAAATTGGACTAGTAGGAATAAATTCCATATTGATACCTTTCAAATGAAAACATATAATTAAAATATTAAAAATTATAATATAAATTATTTTTAATAAATTTCAGATATAATACATTTTTAATAATATATGAATAGATTTATAAACTGAAAAAATATATTTTTATAAAAAATACATTCTTATAAATGAACATTCTACATAGTACACAAAATCCTTGTTAATTCAAACTTGGATAGTTCAAAATCCTGTTAGTTCATAACTGGACTATTTGTCCTAGCTGGGAATATAGGGATTTACATGTTAAGGAATTCAGTTAGTTCAAAATACAGCTACTTGGAAATTTGAAGTAAAAATTCTGTCCGAACTGTGATTTGGGTATGTTAACTTCTTAGTTTAGATCAAAGTGCCTCCATGCTATAAGAGAACAATAGACCAAGAATGACTCCATCTGGTCAATGTCACTTTGCTTTTACAGTAACACATTTTTGAATGGCACCTTACCCATGGACTAGCCTTTTTTCTCTTATCTCATAAAATATGGCTGGGTTTTGGGATTGCAAAATTGGCTATGAGTGGCAGATTGAGATATTTGTAGGCCTATAGGCTACTACATTTGGATGACTTACTACTTTTGCACCACTTTAAAAATAATTTTGGCTACATTTCGAGATTTTCTGGTTTGCTTTTTATAAAACTTATCTGGCAACATGTGAGATTCTCACTGGACACATGTTGTCTACTTGCAGTTTATATTATTATTAATTATTAATTAATGAAAATATAATTCTGTATACATAGCCGTATTCTGTTTACTTAATACATTACATCAGTTACATGGCATTTGGAATATTGTATAGAAATATGTAATTTTCGGATAATTTGAAACTTGATAATTCAAAGTTGTGATTATTTCATCCCTTAAATTTTGAACTAACAATAATTTCCTGTACTTTGCAGTACAGTATCTCTAAAATTTCAGGGCCATAAGAAGGGGGAAGTGATCTGACCAAAAAGAAAGAGCCATTGTCATTTTAAGGGAAATAGCAATCCTTAAGGTATTTTTTCTCCCTTTCTCTTTTCCCTATTTGCTATAAAAATCTACTTGTTTGGTCTGATAGTGTTACATGCTAGTTGATGATTTGAAATTAGAATTTTATTTGTAATGTTAAGAGCAAAAAGTGGCCCAGCCATGGCTGGACCTGTTACTAAAGCATTGAATCTATATATAACTATAAATTACGTTAATAAATACAATTATTAATATAGTAGACTACACTTTTTGTAATCATGGATATTGGTATCAAAATTAATACATACAATAACATATTGTATTATTGGTTTAAGTGAGTCCCAACAGGATTACACTAAATGGATCTTGCTTTACAAAAATCTTTTAATGTAATCTCATCATTTTTATTAATATACATTTTACAGTATTCAGAGGTGGATCAGGCACTTGGTGGGTCCAAGCACAACCTGGTTTTGAGTCCTCCTTGTTCTAAATACTAAGTAATGCTATCAAATCAATTTATATCTTAATAAAAAAAATCTAGCAATGAATTGAGTAACCTTCCCAACAAAAAAGTTAAAACTATGTGTAGTGCTATCTGTTAAAGAATTTTTAAATTTTAAATTACCTTCACTAGAATTTTCAAATTCATCAAAAAATATTTTGCTTGATTGCAAAGAATCAGAAGATGGTCTTCCACTGTCTTCACTAATTTCAGGTGTAGATGGTAAACTTCCAAGGCCAGAAGCAGCAAGCTTTATAAATAATTTTTAAATATTGAGATTAACCTTTTTTAGAAAAGTATATAAAATTTTTATTAAATTATATTGAATTTATAATATGTAAAATTTAATTTCTCTAAAAATCCTCAAATATAGCCCACCTGCTGCTTTCTGTGACGAGGTAAACCGTGTGTGCGTTTTGGTCTAACTGCAATTTTATGACGTGCTGCCTTATGACTCAAAGGCACAGACTGACTAACATCAGCATCATCTGAAAATAGAAAGTAATTTATATATTAAATTATTTAAAACATTTTATAGCTAAATTATATATTATTTAAGGCCATATTATTCATCTTAGATTCAGTAGTACTGGAAAAACTAATGGTAAGTATTTAAAAGACTTTTAGACAAATACTGCTTAAAAGTGAATTATAAAATAAATTATTAATATATTCACATCTTTAATATAATGTTTTATTTTAAAATGTAATATTTTATCAATATCATATTGTCAACATAAATATATCTAAATTTTTGAATAATGATTTATGCAATAGAAGCTAATACTATATATGCTGAATTATAATTCATATATTACAAGCAAATAAACAAAGTGTATAAAAACTTATTACACTTAATTTCATACTATAACTCTATTACTAAACTTATATGAAGAAAAATGTTATGTATTTGACAGAAGTATAAAAAATTTCCTAAAAGATTTCCAACATTAAATATGCAAGTTTTAACAAAAGTTTATTAAAATATAAGAATTCTTAAAAATACAGTGGCTGATCGGTTAACAAACAGATTGGATAACAAACACTTTCGCGAAAGATTTTTATGTTCAGACAACGAACACATGATCGGATAATGAACACCCCACAGAACAAACACAAGAAGAAGCAACGTAAAATAGTGAATACTGATTGATCTTCCCTTGTCTTTGGGCAACAATTCAAAACTTTTCGGAGTACAGGAGACATCGACATCGACACTCAAGCTGATATATACTGATCAGATAGTATTCCTCCGAACTTTGAAACTCTCCCTTGTAATTCCAGCCTTTTATTTTTCTGACAAAACAATTCTTTTATGTATTTGCGAGACTGTCGGGTAGGCACTCGTTAAGTTTTGCGTGTGTTTTTCTTTTTGAAAGATGAGAATATAATAGCAGAGGTAGAGAGTGAGCAGAAGATACCTAATGTTGCTGGGTAGTATGGCTTGAACAGGTCTACAGTAGGCCACAGTTCAATCTTATTTAAGAAAAATACTGTATAATCAAGAAGACTCAAGCAACTAAAGGAGTAACAAAAATCACATCTGAGAAATAAAGAACATCGAAGAGTTCATAATGGAACCTGAAACGGATCTGACAACAGAAGAATGCCAAGAACTCTTGAATGAAGAACACCAAGAAACTTGGCAAGATATGTTTTCTTCTGAAAAAGAGAATTAATGTCGATATTTGTTATTAAAGATCCTTTGAAGAAGTGGGAGGATGTCAAAACAACGGTCTTAGAATGGCATCCAAACCAGGTTGAGGCTTGGGGATTTCTACAATTGCAATTACTTACGAAAAATCCTGAAGAAGAGAGAAAAGCAATCGACATTAGACAGATTCTTTAACCCTTTCAAATGGAAAAAACATGACTAATAAAAATGCAAGATTTCATATGGATGCATTTTTATTATTACATATAAATAAATGTACTAAGAAAGTATATATTTTTTATTTTTGAGGGTCTCCAGAACAAATTAATTAAATTCCCATTAAAACCTATGGTAAATCGATAATCGGTTAATGAATAATTCGGATAGCGAACAAGTCTTGGAATGGATTATGTTCATTAACTGATCACCCACTGTACATTTTTATAACAAGATCAAAGTTTTCAGTAGTAAAATTCATGGAAAGAATTTTAACTTTTTGCTATTATTTGGTTTACATTTAAGGAACAAAGTAGAATCCAATTTGATAACAAGTGTTTTACATTGTCTGTGTTATATTTTAACGAAACAATTTTTCAGATCACAAATATATACATCTAAACAAAAAATTGCTTTATCATGTGTAAGATGGCCGATCCGGGGGAGATAAGGGGCTTGAAACCCACTTCACGGCACCTGTGTAAGGATGCCGTCTCTTAGGTGGGATCTATTAATCCCGCGTCAGGATGGACCTAAGGGAAGGTTGTATGTGGGCGGTGACAGAGGAGGCAAATGACGACAAGTGTTTTACACAAGAAAGCCGTTTATTTGTTAACATATATGCTTACATCGGCAATCGACAGTCCTTCACTAGATTCTTCCCTCGAAGATGCGGAGTGTGAGAACTTCGGCGTCGGTCGTAGCCCCGGGGCGGACGAGATGCTGTTGCTGATCACGGCGGACGATCGGAAGATATAAGCGGCGGAGTCCACAGTTCCTTTGCGACGACACACCACAATAGAAGTCACTACCTTTCGTGGAGTCGGAGGAGAGCCCCCCTGACCTCGGATTTCGGATTTTTATAGTTTTTCTCTTCCACTATTCGGACTTCCGATTGGCCCTTCATCCCCTTTCTCGCTTCCCGATTGGTCTCTCTTTTGTTTTGGGATAAACTGAGACCGCCTCAGGTCACGAGAAAGGTCCGATTCCAGGTGTCGGCTCGACGCCGTTCTGTCGACTGTTGACAAAATTGCAAGACTCGCGCTCATAATTTAACTCCGTTACTCGCGATTTCTGTCATCTGGGTACTCGAACGATCATATGCAATGATTTGTCTCTCTTAAATCTTTCCCTCTTTTCAGAAATTGTTTCCCTAGATTGACTGTTTATGAGCGCGGGGTCAAAGTTCTACCTGCATATGACCACTTGTCTCTGACTTATAACTTTTCACTCTGACATTGACAGTTCGTTTAACACGTGTTCGAGTCATCCGAGACTCGTTGTCTACATTTTGTGCCGCGTTGTTTAAGTTATGGGATTTTCCTCTCCCTCTCATATTTAATCTATCGTTATTATTTAATCATAGGAATATCACGATTTACATGATTCGGACCTCGGTTGGGTCTTCACACATGTTCTACATCAAAATATGCCCAAAAAATTATTTTATTCTTTTTCTTTTGTTTTATTTCTTTCAGGGTGGATATAAAATGCCACCCTGAAAGAAAGTTTCAAATTATAGTCGCCTTTTTGTCCTGTGAGATCTTTAATGAATCTTTAACCAAAATGTATTCTTCATTTATAGCTCAAACTACTTAAAGCTTGAAAAGCAATTACTTATGAAGCAGCTCAGCATTACAGAGAAATTGAACTTACATACTCCTTCAATGTTTGGGAGTAAGTGGCAAGTTAAATATGGTATTTGTTTTTTTATACTAATAAGTTAATTTAATAGAAAAAAAATTTAAATTTTGATTAAAAGATTAAAAGTAAACACAAATAAAGTAACTCATTCTTTACTGAATTATAATTTAAAAAAATATATAAATAAACTAATAATAATATTTTAATAAAATGAATACCAATTAAATCAATACATAAATACTACACTTATATAAAAATAATATTGCAAAATGTAGCAAGTTTGAATAAAGAAATGATAATTTCTATTTTATGATATATTGAAAATAAAGTTTATTTAATAATAAAAATATTTAAAAAGTTAACCTGAGTCTGCAAATTTTCTATCAGACAATGACATTCTTGATGAATGGCTGGAAAGAGTTTGTCCAGTCAAATCCTAAAAATACAAAGTAAATTGCAATTTAGATTTTAAGAATTCATTAAAAAGAAAGCTAAATTGATAATATTTAATTAATTAATTTAATTAATATTTCCTAAAATATAAGTTCAAAATTTTAAAAATCTTGTTAAATCAAGAATCTATATTATACTGCTTTTTTATGTTTAACTTATGATGTCAAAGTATCAATTAAATTGTAGAGGGTTATTTTCTTTTCAAGGTTCAACAAGCAATTCAACAAGTAAGGGCAAATTGCATTTTTTATTTTATTTTATTGAGATGTACTGTACAATGCATCATATATGCCAAATAAGATGTCATATTTCTACATAGCCATCATCCTTTGCAATGCACTTTTCACATCTTTTAACAAGTTTCTGTATTTCAGTAGAAGCATCAAATGCACTGCTTCTTTCCCCTCATTGTTGCTGTAAAATCTATTTCCTTGCAGTGATGCATTATCCTATGGGCAAAAAAGACAATTGCCTGGGGCCCCAAACAAATCTTTTATAAACTCATCACTATAGTAAGAATATCAAAATTTTAAAATTGACACCATATCTGAGGACCCTAACTTGCTGGTGTGGCATGGCACAGCACTTAATCCTCCAGAAGTCGAATTAGAAAACAAACAATGAAACTGGGGGATTCCCCAAAAAATTCTCCCTGAAGAAAAATATACAAAATCAACACTGTACATGGGGCTTCTTAATTCATTTTGCTCGGGCACCAAGAAGCTATAACTCATCACTGCATCCTCAAATACTAAGATTAGCAAACACATACAAACATGGAAAGTGCTGAAAGTGAAAAAAACTTTTCACTTTTAGCAAGATAATGTGTCTTGAAAACTTTGTAACTTGATTCCAACGTGGATCATCACTCAACTGTCTCAGCATCCACCTGGAATACAGATATGGATGCTGAGACAATTGATCTATGACACATGACTTGGATCCAGAGTCATGGATGATATAATGCTTATGTTCACAGAAATCCATCTACTCACATGAATAAATGCTTTAATGCAAACAACATTGAGGGCTGTCCATAAATTATGTATGCATTTTTCTTAAAATTTTTACTCCCCCTCTCCCAATTTGTCCAAGTTTCCATAGCCGTCACTTCTTTGGACATCTAACAAAACTCAACCTTCCTTAAAACCTTTATCACTTTATGATAGATAGATACCATAAGTAGAAATGAAACATAAGAATTTTTGAAATAAATATAATAAAATTCAAAAACTGTTTAAAATTTAATGAAATAAAACGGACATCCACTGAAACTCAACACCTCCCTTCCTCCTCCTATGACTTTGTCCAATTTGTCATAACCCTCTCCCTCTTTTCCAGTGTGGACAGCCCCTTGACATCATCAATGACTATGTTAGGGTGACCTGAGTGATGTTCTTCAAAAACTGATGTTAGGCTTTCTTGAAATCTTTCTATTCCACTGGTACATTTTTCTTTCACTCATACAACTTTCCATCATACTGCTGAATTATTTTTCAGTAAAGATATCTATCCCTGGTTTCAATTCTTCTGACCACAAAAATCTTACAACAAAACACTGCTCTTCTCTGATACAATTTTCTAGCAGAACAGCTATGTTTCTTGTACAGTTGTTAGAATCATGTGTGCCCCACCATCTGTTGCACATTACCTTTTAGCTGTCTATACATACTGTAGTAGTTTCATGTTTAATATTATTACATATCAAGATAATATGTCCCTAATTATTGAATTACCCTTGTATTATTCTTATTTGGGATAATTTTAGAATTAATTTGTCATGATATGGCATGCTACACTTAATTGCCTTTTCACAAGCTCTTACATATGTAAATACCTCAGATATACTGGGATATATTGAGTCTGGGTGTAGATTATTTAATGGAAATGAGGACTTTACAACTTTAAATAAAACAACACAAGAACATAGCCAACAAACGGCAGGTTTGGCATAGATATACATACCACTACTTAGCACTAATAACAAAGCATTACTTCCAATTTTTCTACTAAAGCTAATATGTGTTTAAATTTCATACAGTTATTTACATGATGACCACATGCTGCCACAACTTTCCTTTGTTGTTCTCCTAGATGAACATCATAACATGCACAGATCATCGGTTTATCCCTCGTAATCACCCATGTCTATTCAGATATATGTAGATATACATATATACATCATACATATATAAATAATAGTCTTATCAGGGTCCTTTAGCTATAACCTATCCAAATATGCCCATCACATGCTTGTGAATGATGATTCCTTTAGGATGAAATTGGATTACACTACCTCCATTTATTGCATTCAATCCTTGGTTGCCTTTGGCCCAGACTCTTCTCTTTTCTTTCAGAGTTCGAACCTAAACTCTGCTGCCTGTCAACGTAGAAAACGGCAAAAAGATCTCAAACATGTGAGTCGGTTCAATTTATACTTTCCGCCATCCAGGAATGCTCTCTAACCACATGACCCCTTCTTTGACCAATTATTTTACTCTGACTGATGTACCATAGAAAAGGTGATATGATGAAAACAGGCGGACAACACACGAGAAATAACACAAAAAGTAAATCCCTGTGGCTGTCCGCCATTTTGTATATACATAGTTATAGTATTTAGATTTAAGATTCTTTGTTCTTTTCCTTCCTTCTTCTTTCTACTAATGACCATTTCCGGTCACCCGATCAGGACCTCCTGTGCTAACTACCGGTAGACCTTTTCTTTCCTTCCTTCCTTTTCCTCTTATTAGTATAGTGTTAGATTAAGTTAGATATAAGTTAATTATAAGTTAGTGATTAGAACCTATATCGTGATGATTAAAAATTGTAAGATTCAGGACGAGAGTAGAGACCTGTTGCATATAAGTGTATTTGTCTCTGACGGGCATCTCTGTATTACCTGTTAATCCCTGTTGTAATAAATTATTGTTTAATTGACATTCGTTGGAACAATTTGTCTCGTACATCCTTAACACTCACATCCCAACACGTGGTAAACGGAAAGCAGTTTATATACACAAAATAATATAGAAACATACAGAGAACAATAACCATATAGTAACATAGCACTACATATATGTTTATTAAGTTAGTCTTTAAATATCTTAGTACAAGATAATGACTGACCACCTCTTATGAAGAATGAGCTATCACTGCATAAATACCGAATATTTAGTATTAGTATTGATGCAGTAATTCTCAATGTAGTAAAATGGTGCTAGTTGTCAAGTTTGTGAGTCTCTAGGCAGGAGTCATTTTTGAGTCTCCCACATTTAAAATCATTATTACTTAGCAATTTAATTTGCATTTCATTTATTACTGTGAGAACAAAGTGGGGCACTTCCATATGTAGGGCCTTAAGGGTTTTAGCAGAACATTTAGAGCTAACATCATATTTGTGTATTTGATATAATGAAGATTCTTTATTATATATCTATACTGTACTCCTTAAATTTTAGATAATTTTTGAGAAGAATCTTTGTTATACTTTAAAATATTTAACAAACAGACATCTATTTTCATAGTTTCTTAGTTTTCTTTCCTTTAAAGCATTCTTGCCTATGTTTATTGATCATTTTTAAATTTCTCTTCATTTTCTATTTGCATCATTTTTCTGTATGATGACAAACTTTTTGTGACTTTATTCTCTTTGAAAACTGGTTATATGCAATAGAATCATATCATCTCTCTCTCTCTCTCTCTCCTAATGCTTTAATTTGTTCTAAATCTTTCTCCTACATAATTCATTCCTGTTTTTCTGGACTTTCTTCATCCAAATCAATCAATGGGTGAATTTCAAGGTTAGAAAATTTTTGTGTGTTTTATTTTATTTTACTTTTTAAATTTCATTTCTGCATGTAGTTTATTTACTTTGTATACTATTTTAAGATCAAGTTGATTCTCCACTGTATCTTAGATATTGTCATACTGAACAATATTTCTGTACTGTCAACTCTTGTTAGTATTTTTCTTGATTTTTCCAAATGTTGGTTTATTGTTATGGACCAAACAAGCTATTTCCCTTGTTATTGGGAATTTTTACCTTGAAATGCACGGAATCTGTTTGTAAATGAGAATTTTCCTCTGTTGCATTGTAAACCAGTTCCTGTTCCTTCTCCATATCTAACTAAGTCATATGTGATGCTTTCTTCTTGCTCTAATCTGTCCTTTCCCCCTTTTCCCTTCCAGCATGAACCTCTGAGTAGGCATTTATCTTCCCTCAATATCAATATTAGCTTTCGTTTTTGTCTAGTTTTAATAAAATACTGTAATTAATATCTGCACAATATTATTTAATTTAGAAATTTATAAACATAATTTGTATAAAATTATGTAATGATTTATATATAAATTATGTAATAAAACATAATGTTTCCAGTTATACATTTCAAATATATCATTATATTTTAAAATAAAAATTTTTGTTTCTTTGAATTATCAAGCACAATGTTAATATTATTTTTAATTTATAGATCATATAAAATATATGATTGAATAGATTCAAAATAATTGAATGTATACTTTTCTGGTACCAATTTTTATAGTTCTGTAATTTTTGTTATGATGTAAAATATTGAGTTAAGAAACATCAAGAACTGATGTTGCAAAATTAGAAACAAATTGATTTACTTTAGACTTTATTTTTCAAATTTAAAATTTTAAAAACATACCTCATCATTTTCAGAGCTTCCCATACTTATCAAACTTCCAGCACTACAAGTGGTATGCGATATCCCGCCTTTAGACTAAAAAATAACATAATAAATATTTTTGAAATATTTTAAGTAAATTTTAAACTTATTCATTAAAGTAAAGTAAGGTGTCATGATGATAAGCTTTTATAGAAATTTTGAAACAGATAATATTAGAATGTTATTTTGGATTAATTAATATGTATACTGCTATATTTCAATAAGTTAATAGTCTTAACTTATTGAAATTTTAATTATATTAATATAACTGTATACATAAGAAATTACATAATAAAAATACTAAATAATCATTTATTAATTTTTCCAATATTTTCAGTTTATCCAGTTTTGTAATAATTAAAAAATAATAATAATGATGTAAAAAAAATTGTCATGGTAATTACATCAAAAATAAATATTGGATTTGTAATTCTATTTTTCTTAAATATGATTTTTAAAGTAATATCTGTTATAAATGATTTATTTCATTTTACAAAAAAAACATTTGGAATATGAAGATCAAACATCTTTATCAAAAAATTCTCTGATAAATCTAAATAATGAACCTAAAGCTAATACAAAATTTCTAAAGAATATTTGCATTAAAAAGTTTTTATAAGATTAAGGATTTATTTAAATGACTACAATGAGGGATTTATTTAATGGTCTACTTAAGAGTCTAGTAAATAATTCAACAATTTGGCTTGTATTATTTGGGTTATGGTTTTATTCATTTCATAGAATATTTCTTGTGAGTATTTTTATTTCTTTTATTATGAAATAATAATAGATTTTATAACATAACAAAAATGAGTTATAAAATAAAATAACTTACTGGAATATAAATACTTAAAATAATCAAACACCTTAGTATTTCCAGCAACGAAGTATTTAATAAAATAATAACGTTTTCGACTATATTTAATAGTCTTCTTCAGTTAAGCCACTTTAAAACAAAAACGAACGTAAAATAGAACGCAAGCAATACAACGGTTTAAAACTTGAAAATTAATTACAACAAAATAAAAATAAAATAAAACGTAAAAACAAAATTAAATTACAATAAAATATTAAGAAAAGTAATCGTCGTGGTAAAAAGATTTCCATGAGAAAGATAGACTTTCTGTGTCTCTATGGTTGATGCATCCTTTGTTAATATGGGTCTTGTAAATTTCAAGTTTTTCAATATGTTTAAGTACTTGTTTGTTGGTGGCTGTCCTAATTATGGATGCTTTGTCCCAATGTACATTAATATCTTGATGTTTAGTGAAGGCTGCAAGGACGGTGCTGTCCACGTTTTTAGTAATAGAATACTTATGTTCTTTAAACCTCTGTTTTAAAAGTCTTGTAGTGGCACCAACGTAAACGAGATCTGAATTAAAACGGCGGTCACTTAAAGGAATAGATTAAACTCCCGTACTATTGTTTCGGTTTCCTTTTTTCTTATCAGTTCATAAAATTCTATAAATCTTATCATTACGATAATAAATAACTCTTAAATTATTCTTGTGAGATAATTTTTTAATCATCGATTGCAAGAAAGGTATATAGTTGAGAACTACTTTTCATCCTTGGTTCTTAGTTGTAGGTTGCTTATTTGTTTGATTACAAAATTTAGTAATAAGAGCATTAATTTCACTTATACAATATCCCTGTTGTTTGACACACATAGAGAATTAAATTACATACATACAATAGCTGTACAACAGGGATATCGTATAAGTGAAATTAATGCTCTTATTGCTAAATTTTGTAATCAAACAAATAAGCAACCTACAACTAAGAACCAAGGATGAAGAGTAGTTCTCAACTATATACCTTTCTTGCAATCGATGATTAAAAAATTATCTCACAAGAATAATTTAAGAGTTATTTATTATCGTAATGCTAAGATTTATAGAATTTTATGAACTGATAAGAAAAAAGGAAACCGAAACAATAGTACGGGAGTTTATTCTATTTCTTTAAGTGACCGCCGTTTTAATTCAGATCTCGTTTACGTTGGTGCCACTACAAGACTTTTAAAACAGAGGCTTAAAGAACATAAGTATTCTATTACTAAAAACGTGGACAGCACCGTCCTTGCAGCCTTCACTAAACATCAAGATATTAATGTACATTGGGACAAAGCATCCATAATTAGGACAGCCACCAACAAACAAGTACTTAAACATATTGAAAAACTTGAAATTTACAAGACCCATATTAACAAAGGATGCATCAACCATAGAGACACAGAAAGTCTATCTTTCTCATGGAAATCTTTTTACCACGACGATTACTTTTCTTAATATTTTATTTAATTTAATTCTTTACCACGATTACTTTTCTTAATATTTTATTGTAATTTAATTTTGTTTTTATGTTTTATTTTATTTTTATTTTGTTGTAATTAATTTTCAAGTTTTAAACCATTGTATTGCTTGCGTTCTATTTTACGTTCGTTTTTGTTTTAAAGTAGCTTAACTGAAGAAGACTATTAAATATAGTCGAAAACGTTATTATTTTATTAAATACTTCGTTGCTGGAAATACTAAGATGTTTGATTATTTTAAAAATAAGTTATTTGAGGAGGAAATTTTAAAATATTTAAGTTTACTATAATTTTGATAATGAAAGCAAAATTATTATTAACAAAACACACTCAATACACCTTGTAAATGTGCAGCTGTATTTATTAAATTCGAACGTTTTCGGTCATATTTAATGACCTTTATCAAGAATAAATGGAAAAAATTGAACTCTTAGAAAATTTGCATTAACAATAAATGCGTTTTGGAACGTTTTTAAAAGATATTCTAAATGAAATTATGTATGCCATCTCTACAACAGGCTAACATTAAATAAACACAATAAATATTAGCACGTTAAAAAATAATGACATTCAAGATAAGCAATAAAAAATATAAAATAAAAATGCAAACAAAGAAAAAGCAAAAAACATAAAGAAATGAGTTGGGCAAATACATTAAACTAAAGGGTTCTGCCCTTAAGTATGCTGCCACTTAGCCACCATTCTTGACGCTTACAATACGCTTGATTGCCAAGCTGCCGATACTTTACTTGCTTCTCAAAAGTTGATAGATTGCCCTTTTTGCTGGTTTTGCAGAATTATTATTATTTTTAAATTTTTAATAAATAGTTTTTGGTTAACAGAAAAAATAATAAACGAATCATAAATGTTTTCAGTGAAGTGAATAATTTTCTTGAAAACAAAATCTCGAAAAGGAAAAATAACTAAGTTTTGAGTTTAAATTAAATCCAATATGTTACATTTGGCAACAGTTTTTTTTTTCAAAAAAAATGGCTAAATTTTAATTAATTATGTCCAAACATCTAGACTTGGAATAACTTTTGACCTAAACAAAATTGAAAAATAAATTCATGCTACAGGAAAAAAAAAAATATAAAAAAGAGTCCACTTTAAAAAAAAAAATTTTGAAATGTCTTTGCTTATTTCATGTATAAGAAAACTACTCTTGTGTAGTTTCTTTAAAATGACATAAGTAGAAACCTAAATATATTTATATTCATTGTAATAATTTTTTTTTATTGTATACATTACATTATATAGAGACAAAACAGAAAAGTGGAAATAATTCATGTGTGTGTGTGCGTGTGTGTACACGCATGTGAATTAGTTCTCACTTACTGTCACTGAGAAAAGATACAAATATATCTGTAATCATTTACAATTATTGTTGTTGAATTTTCTTTATGAACAGTAAAATTGATTCTGTGAGATGAGAAATCTACAGAATCAATCAAGAATCTTGTATTTCTCATCAGAGAACAAAAGAAAAATATTTCTAAATAATTTTATAGATTTCTTAAACAATTCCTTAAATAGAATTTCTTAATTTCTTAAAAATGACAAACTGTCTCAAAGGTAAATAGATAATGAAACAACAAAATGTAATTTGATATTTAAATGACATCCTGTTTCATTTGATACTTATTTTAAATTATTTTGCAATCAGGTTAGGAAATTTTGCTCATAATCTTTTTTAAGATAAATAAGTTAAACCATTATACAATATATTTATAATGAGCAGTTACTTGATAGTAGTTGTCTTTGAAATCTGATGTTTCTTGTTATATATTTATCCAAATAATTATGCTAATTAATTACATTGTGTATATGATAAATGGTTACATGTGATATCATTTCATTTTGTATAGTTATAATGTCTTAAATATTAAAATATTATACTTTTTAGAAACTATGAAAAATAATTGTTTATTGTATGCATTATAAAAAAATAAATCTAATTCAGACCTTTAGATTCTGTGATAAAATATCAGCAGTAGTAGGACTAGTACATGGACTATGAGGTAATCCAGCATCTTCATCATCTGAATCTCTCCTAGCTCGTACTCGAGCAAATAATTCAGTCTATAAAAATTTTTTAAAAAATTGTTTTCTTAGTTTTAGAGTTTTTCAAATAAATTATTTTAATGAGCAACTTGTTATATATGTAATTTTGAAAATTTAGATTATTCTGATTATAACAGTAGTGATAGTTACATTATTATATAACACAGAGGTGGCGAACCTATGGCACGTGTGCCCAAAGTGGCATGTCGAAGAAATCATCTGGCACGTAATGAATTACAGTATATGATTTCAGTTTATCATCTTTTTCAATCAGGTTTTTTACATTTACTCTAATTACAGCATATTATTTTATTTATTTAAATATAGTTTTTTAAAACTCTTTTCGCCCTGTGGACACTAAAAGGGCTTTTTTATTTAGCAAGTCCACAATGGAACAGCTGGATGGTGAGGAATTGGATACCCACCTGAAAATTTTCTGGGGTTTTGATCTTGGGTCCACAAGAGTGATAGCTACCACTTTGACTGCTTGGCCATTCAGTCAAATTTAAATATAGTAGTGAGGTTGAGGCCAAAGTTTTAAATGCAAAAACGTGTACATCGAACGTTCAGCACCACTTTCCTGTAAGCCTAGAAGTTTGACAATGGTGTTTGGAATGTCAAACATGATTCCACTGACTATCCAAACACCAATGTCAAATTTCTAGGCTTACAGGAAAGAGGCGCTGAACATCCAACATACACGTTTTCAAGTTTAAAACTTCGGCCTCAACCTCACTAATTACTCAAAGTCTAAAACTTCTGCATGCATAAACATTTTTAAAGAAAAGTATGCTTAATATGCTTACTATGTGGCATGCAGACTCAAAAAGATTCGCCATCCCTGATATAACATACTTTACATAAAAGTTTTTTGGTCTCTTAAATAATATGCTAAATATAAGTTAATAATAATTTGAATTAGGTAATGTACAGAAGATTTCTACACTATAGTATTTGGAATTTTATCACATCATTAATTTTCATAAATAAATATAGCAGTTAATATACTCATAAATTAATTTATAAATATATTAACTCAAAGTTACAAAAAAACACATGAAAAGATTTCTAAAATTGAAAATAACTGATAACATTTACAATTACTTTTTCATAATAAATAAAAAAGTCAACCATATTTATAAACTAAAATTATGCATAAAAACCAATTTACTGTATTTTAACTTGAATTACCAACTTACATTATGTACTTCTGTATGAATTTTCTCTCTAAGAGAAAATTCATACAGAAGTACATAATGTAAGTTCAGAAACTGAAAAAATTAGAGAGAATAACAAACTGTCTCACCTATGTATAGTGACTAATGTTTCATAAAAAACTTTTATAACCAATCTTTTCAACTCAAATTTTATAATTCCAAAATTGTCATTCAAATGATGTGAGGTTTTCAATCAATCCTTTTATATGGATTGAGTCTCATAAAATTAAACCAATCTAGATGAAGTTTTCTGAATTTTTGGCCAATGTGAATTAAGATGATTAGTTCCTACTTTATCGGGAAGGGATGATACATCATTATCTTTCAAAAAAAATCTTGCAAGATAATGACAGTGAAGGGAGGTGTCATCCATAAGGATGTTAGGCTTAAATGAAAGTCACAGAATGTAGAGAATAAATTAATTAATAAATTATAATGAATCAGGATTAGGTGATAAAGAATTTCAGATACTCACATATTTATTAAAATTTAAATTATGATATTGTTTTAGATCCAATTAACAACATTTAATATAGAATAAACTGTAAAAGCAACTACATTTTTAGTTTTTGATTAAAATTGTCTTGTGAATCTTCTCATTAACTTCATTAGTAAAGTTAGTCCTTGACTTTCAGATAACTTGTTATTTTGTGCATAAAACTTAATATTTTTATATTGTTTCTTGTATGCCAAATTAGCACTTTGTACATTTTTAACTGATAATTTTAAGCTATTGTGTAGTGATCCTTCTCTCAGTTTTGGTTTTGTAACAGTAAAATCATTTGTGAAAATTAATTTTTATTGTCTTCTTTTCATTTAATCTTTGATTTTAACATTTTAAATAATGTTTTATGTATTGTAACATATTCAATTACAAAAAACTAAAACTTTTCTCCTTAATAGGAGATTTTATAACTTTCATTTTAGCTCTCTGGGAACATGCAGCTCAATTGTTTGGTTTTCAGATATTTGACGTTAATACAGCATGAACTTGTTTTGCATGCAACTACATGTCAACAGCTACTGTATAAAGCAAAACTCAAAATTTACACTCTATCCCAAGTATCCCAGATGATTACCTAGACACTTATGCAAAACATTAAAACATTAAAAACATTAAAATGTGTTTAAAATTCATTACTTATGTTTTTACTATAATGAATAACATTTTACAGTCTGATGTTTTTGAATATACAGAGCAAAATTTTATTACACTGTATTAAGTTCACTAGAAAAAAATACATGCAAACAAGCATATTCACTACAATGAGTGACATTCAATAGTTCTCCTTGTACAGAATGTCAGAACTAAAGAAACATGGTTTTGCTGACTTAAGAGTTAAATGTCAGATTCAGATGGCAATAAGAGTGGTCTGACCATTCACCATCTAGGAATATATAAATCCACATATATCAAATTCTATATAAAATAAGTCTGTTCTGTATAGAAACACATTATATCCAAAAGTTATGGATTTCCTATAATTTTATAATCTTTAATATTAATCCTTAAATTTAATTTTATTATTAAGTTTATGATCAATACTGACTCTAATTATAATAAAAATTATTTCACTGAATATTTAAAATTCAATTTTATATTAAAGAATTATTTGAAATGCTGATATATTTCTGAATTATAATTTAGCATTCTAATCAGAATTAAAAACCATTATTTACATACTTAATGAAGTCCTTATTATAGCAATAACTACATGAAATAAAATAAAATAAAATTTTTAATGATAATTGATTGCCCTTGTTGGTATTTTCAAATTATTGTTGAGATAAATAAGATTATTAAATTTTTATTTAAAAATTTTATGTAAAAAAATTATTGGATTCAAATTTTATGTTAAAATCAACAAATAATTTTTAACCAGAAAGAATTTGGAAATATTTAATATTAACTATCTTAGAAAAACTAAATTAAATATTTGATAAAACTAATCTATTTGTTCAAATAAAGAATACAAAATTATTAGCTATTTAATTATACTTTCTTTCTAAATAGAATTGAATTTTGATCAATCACATGAAGAAAAATTTGCAATTTAAAGCAGAGAATAAATAACTTTTATTAATTTAGTACTACAAAATAAATTATAAAAAAATTCTTTTTATTTTTATTTAGTAATTATAGTGAATAAGAATCAATGATTTTCTTTAAAAAAAATAAACGTATTTGTGTTTATAAAAATGCAAATTTTTAACTTTAAATTATAAATAAGTAAATTTTTTCTTCAATTCATAATGATTAATGCAAAAAACAGCTCTAAGCTCTTTAAACATAAAAACATTTACAACTTTTTAACAAAATAAAAACATTTACTGTATTTTGTTTAAAAAATCATCCATTATTATCCACTATTACTATTAAATAAAAATAAAAAGATTAAAATCTTTTTTAATAATTGATTTCATGATAACAAATTAATAAAAGTTGTTTATTTTCTGAATTAAATTCCAAAATTTTTTAAATTGTGTTTTAATAAAATAAAAAAATATACTTTAAACAGATTAAGTTTATAATCAATCAATAAATTTAAAATTAAAATAAATAAATATGACTAGGATTATACCTAGTAATATATTGATAATAAAAAGCAAGATTTTCTCTTTTAGATTAATTTTAAAGTTATTAAATATAGATGACTTTTAATAATTTGTTGATCAGTTTAATAGTAGAGCAGTTAGAAGCAAGCTATATAAAAATAAGCATCTGTTTTCCATGTCTGATGTATTTAATATCCCTCTTACATCATGCTAATATATATTCCAGAATTATAATATTTATAAACAATTTTCTCAGTAATGATTATGTAATTTTTGATATAACTCTAATACTGTAAAAATGATTTAGATTTTTAAAAAATTATTTCTGATTTTCAGCAATATATTTGTGAAATTATAATAATTAGAAATTCAGTGATAATAAATTAAAACTAGTACAAGCAATAGTAATTTTTCTTGTAATTTAAAATTTCATAAAGATAGTAAGAAAAAAATGTGTAAAGACAGTGAAAGAATTTTAAATGTATAATGAACATTTTTTATTTTCTTCACTGAAATTTTATGGTTTCTGATATCATCTATAATGTAAAAACAACATTATTCAACAAATCTGTGTAATAATATTTTAATTTTATTTTTACAGCCATTATTAATAACTTGTATTAACTTAATTCAATTAAATCATAAATTATATTTATTAAAAGTATTGTATTGATAATTCAAAAATAAAATTTTAATATTTAGTAGGTTATCTATTAAATATTTCTCATTATTAATCTTTAATCAAATCAATAAATACCTTCAAATCTTTTAGTTCCACATGTTGAACAGAAAGAAATCCATGAATATTACGCAACTCTTGTGGATCCAATGATGTAGTAACATGATCAGGAGAAAAGATACTATCATGAGACACACTTAAACCAACAGTATATGAAGAATTTGGACTTGAAAATCTGTAGATGAAAAAATAAGTAAATAAATAAATATGCTAGCAGTCAAAGAAAAACATATAACAAAATATTAATTTAATAAACAGAGTATAAGATTTAAAATAATAAAAAAACTGTATAAATTATGCTATAATTTGTAAAATGCTTGATTATTATAGGTTAAATTATTAAATTGGTTAAATTTTTGTTGTTAAAAAGAACTTTTTCCTTAAATGCATTTCTGTATCTATTTTAATCTGAATTGAGAATATGTGATATAACAGAAAAAACAAATAAAAGAAATAAAAATTGTATACCCATTGTCTGATACTTGATAATCATTAAGACATGATATTTTTGCATAAAGAGAGCCCATAACATTTGTTAACCAATAGAGTAAATTCAGCAAATACTCACTGCATAGGAAAATGACCAAACTAACTCAGCAATTCTCCCATGACTCATGCAGACTGTCTCCATACAGTCTAATTCAGCTGAGTTCAACTAAAAAATTTTTCTAAGTATTTAATATTATTATAGATATACATAATTTCAATATTTCTAGTAGATAATAATTTGATTATTATTTTTTATTATAAAAACATTAATTATGTATATTTTTTTCTTAAGAGTACTCAATGAATTTAACTGAATTAGTTTTAATTGTTAGTATTTAACTAATATTTAAAGAAATCTACCATACCATAATACCATACCATACCATACCATACCAATGAATGAATCTACCATAAGAAATGTTTATTATTATAAACATTTCTTATGGTAGATTCATTCACAATGAAAGCATGATCAATTATTCCTGTTGAATTTTTTGTTTATTAAAGGTACTGTACATACATACAAAAATTCTATAATTTTATGAATTATATAATAAAAATTTTTAAAATTGAAAAAAATGTTATTTTTAAAATAATCAAACAATAAAAATTAATAATTTATCACAATTGTTGCATCTAAATTTAATTCAAACAATAAATATAATGACATCTTCATGTTCTTGCATTCATTATTTGCACATTTCACATAACTATATACAGTAAGATATTTACAATCATTTTTCATATTTGTAAAGTAAAGGTTTACTTATTTGCAGAAGAACTTTCTTAGTTCTTCTGCGAATGATGGAACAAATAATGAACAAAAAGGTTAATCTGAGACAATTAAATGATTTTTAATTTTTCTTTATATCTTAAACAGTTCTACCAGAATTTATTTATTGTTACACTAGGCTAGCAGATACTATCTCTTAGTTTCTTGCATTATTTTAGCATAAGCATTTAAACTGATAGTAAACATTGTTTCATATTAGCATACATTGTGATTTACTTTCATATTTTTAGGTTTTTTTTTTGTTTTCCTTACAAATCGATAATATTATCTAAACAAGAATACTCTAGCAGATTTTTTTTATCAAAAAGGTTAATAAATATGATGTCTCTTGAAGATAAAATTAAATTGGTTGGTCACTTGCAGAGAAAAAATTCAACAGGAATAATTGATCATACTATCATTGTAAATGAATGTACCATAAGAAATGTTAATAAAAAAACTATGAGGTATTAAAAATGCGATATTGGAATTTCTTCATATAAAATATGTTTTTATTTCCTAATCATATATTTTTCAGTCCTCTAATCTTATATTTTCAATGTATTTCTTTTTCTATATACTGATAAATGGATTCCACATTTGTGGAAATTTTACAGAATTCAATACCCACAAATATGAAACTTCTACTGTATTAAATTGTTTACCTTCTACTTCCTTCCTGATCACTTTGCAATTCTGTAGTTGAACGCGATTTTTTATAATCCTGCAAATTTTCTGATCCCTGCCTTCTCATTCTCTTGCGAAACATATTTCTGACAGCTCGAAAAGGTCGAAACTTTTTCCTCTTGGATTCTGGAAACAGTAAGTTATGTAATAAAAACTTTTAGTTTACTTCATAATTATTCTGTAGACAGTCTATAATATGTATTGAGTAAATAAAATAAAGAATTTGTTATAATATAAGGTGAATTAAATATATTGAATATTTTAATTTTTTTTATTGTACAATATTTCCACTGTTATTAAAACAAGTAAACATTTTGCATGTAAAATTATGTCAAGTAATGCTGAATTAATTAAAACAGAGAGAATTTTTTATATCAATTAAAAAAAATTGTTTCAAGAACATGTATAGTTTACAAATTAGAATGTACAGTACACCATTGTCTACCACTAATAGCTGCCACTGTAATGTTAAACTGTTACATATTAATACAGTAACCCTTCCATTAAATGTGTTTTTGTTTGCGCAAATTCATTTTAAAATGGTTGAAAACCTTTTAAATCTTAAATAATCAACTTTATGGAAATAAATAATAATTACATAAAAAAGTTTTTTTTCTTTTTTGTTATCAGTAACCTTTTATTTAGACTTATAGTTAAAAAAAAAACTTTAGTTAAAACTTTTCTATCCCAGTAAGAGTAAAACACTGTATTTGAGAATATGAAACAGAATTTTAAATAGTTTTCCATGGCTCCATTTATATAGTTTTCATGGAACTAATTAACTCACATAAATAGAAGGATTACTGTATTAGTAATTTTCAGAATAAAAAATAGTCTTACATAATAGCAACAATTAAAACTATTAAAACAGTTTATAACTTTGTTAGTAAAAATAATTGGAATGAATCTGTAATAGATGAGTATCGTTCTACTGTAAGGCTAAATGTATTTTCTTTACCTCAGTTTTTGCTTTTTCTTTGATAAATGTAATTTTTTACATTAGTATTCAAACTGTAGTTATTTATTAAAATTTTTTTTATTTTTTGCATTGTTTATATATATATTTTAAAGCAAATAAAAAATCATTCAATATTACAAATAAAAAATTACTTTGGAATGCTTTCAAAAATAGTATTGCAATTTGAAATTTAAAAAAGTACTTTGGGAAAAAACTATGCATTAAAAATTGATTTCAGAGGTCAGTGTAGAGTGAAAAATAGAATTGTATTCCAAAAAATTATCAAAAAAGTACAAATGTTGGCAGTATAGAATGAAAATCAAATCATTAATGTAAAAGATATTCTAATCTTAAAGTATTGAAGACATTAATATAGCTAAAATAACTGAAAAATTCAGTCTAAGTAAAACTTACTATTTTAGAAGTTGCAAAAAGTTGAATGTAATGAGGAAAATTTTCTCAATCAACATCTTTCTTAGACTAATTTACATTTAAGTACAATGTTTTTCTTACAATATCTCCCTTAGGACATTGTAAATTAGTCTTATAGCACATTACAAGATTTTCCTCCTTGTAACTTTTTGCAACCTGTAAAACAAGATGTTTTGATGTAGACTGAATGTTTCATACATATTGGTGTTATATTACATTTCTAATTTCTCATTGTGTAATCTTTTATAACTGATTCATTTAGTAAAAAATTACACTATGCTTGAAATTTTCAAAAATGATATAATGTTAATTATCATATATCATTTTGATCTTTGTATTATATAATACAAAATTATCTGTACTTAGTCATTTTTTTTTTAATTTTTTGTTTTATTGTATCAAATTCATGAAAACTCTCTTTATTTTCCAGGAATAGCATTCTTGAAATTATGCCTTAGCAATATATAGTATATTAGCAGCAATAAAAAATAGCAATTATATAATATTACTGATATTTTTCTAAAAAATTCTAATAAACAAAATTGTTTTGTTATTTATTAGAAAAATATTTTATGTATTTGTTTGCTTTTGCAATTTTAATTTTAAATTAAAATATTTAAAATTTTATAAGATACATTTTCATACAAAATGAATTTTGTAAAATATATTGTTTAAATAACAAAACTCATTTTGTATATATATACTGTATATTACACAGTAAAATGTGTTAATTATAATCAGGTAATCATGGATATTGTTATCAGTCATTTAATGTTATCAGAAACATAAGTTAATAATAATAATAATTAAATATCCAAATCATACATTTTTTTAATTGTTTTAATGTCAATAAAACCAAAATTTCCACTAATTTTAATCTTATTTATTTATCTGTTTAATGTTATCAACTATTGTAGTTATTATTATCAGTATAGACAAGTCCCAAAGTCATTATTACATTAAACAGATTTTATTGTATTGTTAATACAAATATTTTTAAATATATAATTTACTAAAATTGATTGTAACTAAATCAAATGAAAGATTTTTGATGAAAGTACATTCTTTCGGTATATAATCCCAGATGA